ATACGGCACTCAAAGGTCGATACAAAAATTACTACTCAATTGAATGGCAGACAGACAGTGAAACGATAATTTTAGAGACAATTTTCATCAATCTTCATTTGGTTTATCCCGTCTATCATGGTGACAGGTAAGACTTCAGGGAATACCTGTTCATCAAATGAAACTAGCATTGGTTTTCGACATTTCAACTCACAATATTTGAAGGATAAGGGATATTGATAACGAGAAGTAAATCATGTGAGTTTATGACATCGCTTCTCCCTAACCTAGTATGGACTGTATGGTGGACACTTCCTTGGTTTTCAAACGTACCAAATTTGAGCTTCAATTGAATAAAGTAACGGATAAGTGATATATGACTGAACGGCTGAGTAAATTAACTATCCTTTTAAAAGATTCCTAATTAGGCTTTTTAAACATGTCAGAGTTATATATGCAGACCGTAAGTTTCATTACAATAGGGCAAAGAATTATTTGAATTAGCTCAGCAGTATGCAAACCTTGCTGAAAAGGACAACTTATTTATCATTTCTGTTCCAACTTTTGGCGTAGTTTCGCCTATTTTCAAAACGTTAGTCCACTTCAACATTTAAGACACAATTGCTTGAAGAGTTTGAAAATCACTTCTACTGAACACTCATTTGAGTTGGTCTCAGACATTAATTATCTAAATGTGAGTGTTAGACATTTGATGAAGTTGTACATAAATCTCTCTCGATGGTATTTTACGACGAAATGAACAGTACCACATTTGCTCACGATGATCATTTTATGAAACGTAATTACATGGTTTACTAGCATGTTTTATTGCTGACTTAATTCACTGTTGCAAAACAGCAAGTACTTTGAACAATCTGTCTGTCAGTAATCTTGAGCTTCATCATAGCATGGATAAGAGATAGTGAGTGTTTCTTGATTCACAATAATGATGCTTGAAAAGCATATGTAGCCGAAACGGATGCTTAATTAAATAATTAATTAAATGAAAATTGTCATAACTTTGCTTAAGTAAACATATGCAATTGTAAAATAGACAGTGCACAATTTATTGATAAGAATTACTTACCTGGTCAGCTAATGTATCTTTAGGCATAGATTTGCGTGCCATTTCCATTGACAACCCAACAATATACTCTCTACATATATTGATCAAACTTCGTGCTTCTGCTTCTTCAGATGGCGAATCAACGACTAATAATGGGATAGATAATAAAATTATTCTAAAACGATTGATTGCATCTTGAAATTTGCCTTTGGTTGTCAGCTGATAGGCTGTTTGCAGACGTGTTATGAGTTCACTTAAACTAATTACAGGAGCTGGTAAGGCAGATGTTGGTGAGACCTTTTTCCTGATGTTTACATTTCAAAAGGGAAAAAACATTGGGTGAATTTATATTCAATTGAAGAAACGTTTATCCAAACGATTATGAGAAATTATACAGTATAATAAGCTTCTTTTCCCTCCTTTGTCTAATATACCCAAGGCTTTCGTACAACACAAAGTCAAATGATTTAGGTAGATTTCAAAAATTTCGTCATTGTTCTTAAATGGAACATTCACATACTTTTATCAGTTTTGAAAGTCACAGTTAAGTCATTTTAATTTATTGTCTTATTGGATGGTAATCCTTGACCACTACGAAGCAAATCAAAAACATGTTAGATGCCATCCACATTTTCGATCAGTGAATTTCTTCAGTTCGATAAAGCTATATGAACACAGAGCGATCAGTCACCTCATGTTTATCATTTACGTGAAGAGAAAGGTTCAGGTACTGCAAACTGTAGGTGAACTATTTTCGGTGCCTTTATATTAAGTGAGTGTTTACTAGTCCAGAACAGAATTAGTGGAAATAGATTTCTTTACCTGAACAAGTTGGGAAGAACTAATTCGAAACGTGTAGTGCACGTGAAGTACATAGTTCTGGAAGTAAAAATGAAGTAAAAACTCCAAACAGTTGTCAGTAGCTGTGTAAATGTCACTATATACGTTGCTTTGGAATGAAATACTCGAAAGCGCTACTCTGCAAATAGCTGTGACCTTCATTTTCAGCACCAATGACATTACTAAGACAGGATAAACAAGTTATGTTAAGAAATAAACACGAAAAAAGAAACAATAATGAGTTATTTGATAAATTTACCAGTTGCGCTGAGGATATAAAAACTGAGATGGTGTGAACGGTAAACCCAAACCCACTGAACGTGATGCACTATACATGTTCATAAAAAGCGACCGGTAGGGTTCAAAATTAACCACTCCAACCTGAAAGTAAGAAAAACACACATACATATCAGCAGAATATAACAATTCATAAAACAAAAACGGAATCGTGAATTTCTACAAAACGAACAGTTAATACAAGCCCACCTAACAACTAATATATTGAATATTTGATTACGTCTGTTGTATGAAACCAAATGATTGTACTCGCTTCTTCAGTCTGAAGCGGAGTGAGCGAAAATTTGAGCTGGTGACATAATTTGCTCTAAGTCAAAATTAATGACTGTTAAGCCATAGTTCAACAATACATTGCAAATATATGACTAGTAAAATAAACGTGGTCTACCAATTTTCCCAATCAAATCATTTCAACAACACCAATGGACTGCTAGGTATGAAACTTGGTGGAAGGAATATTTCATCAGTTAATATTCATTCAGAATTCATTATTAATAGTTGAAGAGAAAATAGATGTGGATGGGACATTTTGTGAAATTCGGGACCAACAATGTATCAGTGACTTCCATCTATAACCCACAAACTCATGCGTAAAGCAGTGCATTAGGTGAGAATTACTGATGACACATTTCTATAATAACCTTAACAGCGGAAATTGGTTTCGAACGCGCAAAAAACTGATTAAAGTACTATCATCGATATTTATCACATAGACTTTGGTAATATTGAACATAGTAAAAGGCTGTTTCAAATTACTACGATTCGGAAAAGTAAGAACTCAACCAAGAAATACATGAAAGAAACAATGAAAGTTATGAAAGCAGACTAAAGAAGAGAATAGGAAGATGTATGATTCAAAACAAAGAAATATTCACTAATTTCGTGTATATTAGGCGCGATCGGTTTCACATTACCAAAGGTTCACAACTGACGATAATACCATCCTCGAAAACTTAATCAGCACGCTTGTGAGTGACTCACAAAATCAACGTAGAACATCGCACATAGGTACATCCGTTCAAATTGCCATACTTCACAGTAATAAACAAATGGATAGAAAAAGACTGATATGAAAGTAAATAGAGTACTGTGAGAGAATAAAAAATCTGAAGATAAAAGCTAGAGCAAATGTTCAAGCTTTAGAAAAAGCCAAAAAGTGAATACATCTGCGCCATAGTGACTAATTTCCAGCCATGTCACCAAGAATCCCCAACAACTGGTTCTTATAGTCTCGAGGACACCAATGAAGCAGTCTACATCTCCGCACACGACTCAGATCAACAGTCAGAGACTTCATCGAATCTTCTTCCAACCCAATCGAACTTTACCTTGCATCGATAATCTTCAACCATCCATTTCTATTATCATGGGGAGCTCAACTGATTAGTCTATATCTATCTCACTTAACAACTCGGACCAACAGCTGGAGATTTTGTGCAATGGTGTCACTTTTTGGCATAGTCACCATTAACCGTCTCCCAAACTAGACTTATTCCTGCTGACACTGAGTTGAGGTGGGTGGTAACTTGACATGCGCATCATGTGTTCAAGTCATCTTAGTCAGTGAAGGTTTACAACCTTACTAACTGACTTTCTTTCCTTGTTCAGTACTCTAAGTCTGACTTTGATGCTACTCACTCCACGGACTCATCAGATGTGAAGGACGCCACAAAGAAATACCTAGTCAATTCTATTGATCTCTTTTCAATAGTTGTGGTCCCCAACCCTACAGAAGGAAAGAAGTGACGACTGATAGTATCTTTTTCCTTTGATAAGTAAGTATCCTGATATCTTGCCGAAACCATAGATGGCGTAAGTTGACAAAGGCTATTCATGGTATTTCTGCCATTGATCCAGTAAGGTCAAAAAAACTTGCCAAGTAAGTTAATTTGTCGTGCTTAAACGTTTTACTTCTTATTCACAGACCAGTTGTGAAGCAACAATTTGCCTTCAGATGGTGAGAAACGCATCCCGAACATTTGCAACTAATCACTTAGGGTGTTTAAAGAGTTTGAATCGTGTCACTATCTTCACGAAAAACGATTTTATTGTCTGCATACTCTCTCTAAGAAAACTTCATAAATGTTCACTAAACGATTTCAAGAAAATCAGATGCTTAAAAAAATATTTGTAGCAGAGGTCACCACTAAAAATCACTTCTCGCACAGTATCCTAATTACAAAAACTTAGTTGTTCATACTCGAGATATGCCAGATAAGTAATGTAGATAAAATCTGACTATTCGCTGACACCAAATGCAAGTGAATACTATATTTATTTACCTGAGCATTGAGCAGACGCATTGCATTCACCCAATTACCAGCCATTACTTGATCACCGGGAAGATACGAATTCTCACTCCAAAGGTAACTATTGGGACGACCAACTGATGGAGCGACAAACAAATTGTCAGTCTTGGTTGCTGACACAATACCAGCACCTTGAAGATCTGATGGTAACTCTAGGTCTGCATCATTAATGTCCCAACCACCAGCATCTGCATTTTTATCATCAGTACCTGTTAAACCTGCGGCGTCACCAGTAACCAAAGTATCTTCAAATTCACTTGGCTCTGATGATGAGCAAATAGAAATAAATTTATGCTGAGACTAATTATCCGTTGAAAAGAAATATGTACGGGAAAAGTAAAAGTACCAATTAGCTTAGGAGTTTTCTTCAACTTCTTATACAAAAAATGGTTTTTGATTATCCTATTCTTCAACAATAATAATATACACTGATTCGTGTGTTATTTTTAATAGATCAAAATCGTAAAAACTGAGTACAATCAGAATTATTTCAGATGTTAGAAGCTGCGTTTGTCACAAAGTTGTTTCCACATACGATTTTAGTCCTGACTGGATTTATCTTCCTCGCACCCTCAAGAATCCATTTCAGTATACTATCAGCAAACAGTTAAGTCTTCAAGAAGAACTAAACGCACTTAGTAGCTTGTGTATGTTAAGGTAGTAGGCAATGAGTCACACTTATTGCGTGTGCGGGCTAATGATACTATCTGGTTGCCCAAACCCAAGAAGTGGAGGAGAGTTCAAACCCATGACCCACTGGTTGAAAGTCAAATACCAAAACCAATGAGCCACAATCAAACAATGAGAAGCACGTCCATATGCATGGTCTAGAGGAACTGAGAAACTTGAAGTTCACAGTAATTTACACGTCACATAACTGGAAGGTCTTAAACTCTAACATATTTCAATAGGTTGAGCATATGTTCTACTGAAGACTTTAGAAAAGGACAAAGCGAATGTCAAACCCTAAAGGGCTATTCCCTAAATAGAATATTAAAGAAAACATTTAGACTAGTAGTAAAGACATATTGCACTAAATTTACCATCAATTTCAAGATTCGCATCATTTCCCCAGGCACCTTCCGGTACATCTTCCATATCCAAAAGTAAGCCAGCCGAAGCTAGAGAAGCACCTATTCCTTTATTATCTTGTTCATCACTCTTTTCAGAAGATTTTAATGCAGCGTTTCGTCGCTGAGCGATAGCGGTCTCAAAGAAATCAAGCTGCACACTAAGAAGAGGCCAGTCAGGTTCAGAATTCACTCCTTCTGTGACTTTATCAGGCCGAATAATAGGTGGTGATGGGATTATCAGACTGGCGTTTGGATCAATTTCTGGTATAAATGATATATTTGCATCAGATGGGACTGATTGCAGTGTCAATGAAGTGAGTTGTTCCTCCAACTCTTTGGCTTCTTGACTGAGACCATGTGTTGCAGCCGTAAGATAGGCAAGAGGTTCTAAAACAGAAACAAATGCATCATGTAAAACAATCTAAAAACGATAAAGTCCTTTAAAAAGCATACTATTAACGAAAGTTATTTCATCAAGCAGTAAATCACACTTTAACGATGTGTTCATTATAAACGGACAACTTGAATATTATTTCCATATTTACATTCATTCTAGTTAAACTCGTTACGTAGCATATTTTTTTGATAGATTATTTGCTTACTGAAACAAATTTCTTTTCAGGGAAAGCTTCATGAAAGTAAACGAACAGATTACAGCAATGAAGATTAGTTGGGAAAAAGTCATACGTAATATGAAGTATACCCGTTGTATCACTGAGAAGATGAAAAGTTATGCAAATAAATATGTTTGTTTAAGTTTCACTATGCTTTACCTCTGAATTAAATATTTTGTACCCAAGTTTGCGTAGTAATTATACTTCTATGAATATGTACGGTAATATAGATTGTGGTATTTAGAATAATTATGACTGGTAAGCAATTGTAATGGACATAAGGATAGGAGTGAGTAAAAAAACCAACTTTTGACTTGCTATCTGAACGATGCAACACACTACTAATTGGAGCTTATTCCACCTCCATTGATAACTACTGTGATTATTTGTAATGAAGATGAGCAATACAAACATTAACGCACTTCACCATACTACGTGTTTATGCCACAAAGATTCCAAAGCATACGAGGTAATCAATCGTCCAATGAGTATATGGGAGGATTCGTAGGATGCAGATCAGTATTTTGGAATGTGCTCATTCAACAATGAACAAAAATACTTCGCGCTTTGCTGAATAGGTCAGCGTTTGGGGATATAAGAGTAGCACTTGGCTGCTGTGGTGGAGTAAAACTACATTATGGTTCGAACACATGAGTTCGAACTGGTGACCCACTCATAGGTTGGAACTCAATTGCCTAAACCAATGAGCGACAGCGTCACATTTGATAAGATAGACACTGACTTTATTTGATTCTTACTTGAAACAATTTTTAGGTTGGTTGCAAATTTTTAATGCTAGATTGTTGTTCAGGTAACATGATTCATCAACTCTTCCAATGTTAAACCATTTTATATTATTGTTTTCAAAAGGTTATTATCGATAACGCACTGCCAACAGAAGGGTAGATACATCAACAATAAATAAGGTTGGTTACTAAGAATAAATTATCGAATATGTGAAATACATGTGGGTTTTTAGTCATATGGTTTCAAACTTTAAATAAGAGGTAACACGAAAACTCGACTTTACTTACTCTGTCCACAGTTACGCAACAACTTTACGCGTTCAGCCACATCACCAAGAAGTAATGCAATATGGTAATGACTTGATGTGTCTTTCCGAATTTCCGCTGATGACGCATATTTCATTTAAAAAGAAAACAGTGTGAAATTACTGAGTAATACAATATACAGTTGTTAACATTGATAAACATTAGGCTGTGATGACAGGAAAACCACATATCAAAGGGTTGAAATTGGCTTCAGTAACAAACGACGTGGAATAAGAACAAAGCAACACCATGGGATTGTTATAATGTTGAATAAGTGCTCATAAAGAACAAGAAGGCACTATCATTGGGAGATGACTAACACGAAGAGAATATAATGCAACAGTTACATGGTGGTTAGATAAGGTAACATCACATAAACGTAGTGGCTTCTCGATTACATTGTATGTAGATTCAGTGTTCTGCATTTGAAACATAAAGTTGGGTCACTGGACTTATTAAACATGTATGAGATAAAGTCGTATATGTGAAAAATAGAGAACTAAATGTGACGATAAAGACAGTAATGACCATAGTAACATTAACGGCAATAGTTTAAATAAGGACTGAAAGAAAGTAAGATTCATTTGTTTCATATTTTACGGTTGGTTTAAATGACTTCGTGACATGAAAAAAGCCTTTCAAACCAATGAATCGTATGACCCCGGAGACTATACATAGCAAACATCGACAGTCGTTAACTCATTGATTCTCTAGAAGCAGATCAACCAATCACCAGGGTATCCAACCTTTCGACTATTCGTTGTGACTGCAGCAACATATGAATGCTAATTTCATGAAAAAAAATAACAGTGAAGGTGCGATATCGTTTGCAGACGCAAAGTTGAAAATCACTTTTCGTGCCAATACGAAGGCGTTAATACTGCACAGTTTATTCTCATCAGATAACTCTTGGTAACGGTCTCAGTGCTTCAAAACAACGAAAAGTGATGGTTGTATACCTCAAATTACTTGAGAGATTTTAATAGGAAACTATTAACAGAAAGGTTTAGAGAACATACGATGCTGTTGCTTAGTAGCCAAGACATAGAACAATCATTTTGAACGGATAGAATGCTGTCTTGATTTCAACTTGGAACTACTATAAATCACTTATTCATGAGTCTTTTTAAGTGGTTGATATGACCTACTGGCCTAAACAAACGATTTTCAAGCAAAGGAGAGCTCAATTCAGAACTTCGGCCACAAGAACTGGATAGCTTCAAATTAGTGATACGTAGGCGAGTACTTGAGTCGGTAATAAGTTGAGCAATCTAATATTGCACTATAAATCACTCATAATCTGTGTGTAAACAAGGATGACTTACCAATTTTCATCATTTTCTTTAATTTATCCAGATTTCCAGTTATCAAATACAAGAAAGTGAGTTTATCAAAGTTTTTAATACGTTGATAAGTCATTTCAACTAGTTGTAGTTTCCCTTGTTTCAATGCTAGCTCACCAAGCCTTTCCCAGCAAGCTTTATCATCCAAGGCTTGAGCAGCTTCTAATCCGACATCCAACTGACCACAATCCATAGCTAAAGAAAATCTAGTACGAGTATCTTTGACGAAATGTAATGCAACTTCAGGATATCCTTTCTTTTCTAAATATCCAATTATAGCTTGACCAACTAGGTTTGAATTACGAACCATATGTAAGACCTGTAAATATATAATTTTCAACAAAAAAGATTGTCCCGCTGAAGTTTGTTATATAACTGCATGCAGCGTGTCATAAGGTTTTGAAACCAGAATACAATATAGCAAATATGAGTAAATTCAATGTTTGCTACAAATATGACAACAGATAGTGAAAATCTTTACCAAATTAAATTATTTTTCTTACAGCCGACTACTTGATTAACAACCAGTTGTTCACTAACTTTTTTAAAAATCTTACAAAGTTTAGTTAAAATGTAACTGATGAAGCCATTCACCAAACGCCATGCTATATCACTATTAGCAGTTTAAAATACTAACCGGTTCAATCCAAGCGATGACTCTAAAAACATATATACTTACCATTTTGAATGTACACTCAATCGAAGTTTTGCAACACCCTAAATTGCATGAATGTATGAATAATCTAGTGCACAAAGACAAAACAAATGTGAGTTACACAGTAAATAATACTACATAAGATTATCACTGCGCGAAATGCCGGGAAGAACTCATCCAAAAAATATCAATCGATAAGTCATGCCATGAGTTTACTGGTTTCACTGTGTGTAAACAATTACTCCTATGAAAATATCAAAGTTTTAAGGAAAGGAAGTTCAAGAAATTTTAAATGATCCATGGGAACCTGATAGTCATATGAAATTCATTTTATTATTTATCTATTTAGCAGAAGCTTGAGCACATGATGACTGAAATTTTTAAAAATTACAACTGACCTCCTCGTATCTACGGTTGATAAGTGCCAACTTGAAACGAAACTCAGTAGGTTCTATGGTGAATACAAGAGGGGAGCAATCTCGATCCAGACAATACACTGAATTGCCACGAACACGCGTAATGTAAACAGGTAATTCAAGCGTTCGGATAATCCCATAATCACTAATATACAATAATAATGATATTGTAGGATTAACTGGTTTGAAACATAGGTAGGAGACAGTTTAATACAATTATAGCTACATAAATGACTTCAAAACACAAAAAAAAAACACCAGGATGACTATCACTGATACATTCAGCCAACCAGTCAACAATGATATTGACGATTGACACTCTGGAATTAAAAAAAGAATTATTAGAAATGGATATTATATTCCCAGCATACAATACTAATTTTAACACAATAGGATAGAAGTAAACATAAGCGAAATGCAGGTGAGGTAACTGAACTATTACTCGATGAGTTGTACCTAACAAGCAGAATAAATGCAAATAATTTGGCCCTACTCCTTCAACAGGAACAAGTACATTTACGCACACGCACGCATCTGACTGAATCATTGATCGAAGGAAGTATATACGCTTAAGAAGCTGCTCTACACAGTTCAGATCGATCGAAATAAATAACGTATGGGTGACCTTTCATTATAAACTGTATGCATGGTTCCTTGATCCACGATGTTAGTAGCTATCAGCTCTACAGAAAAGCTGTTACGATAGTTAAGTCAAAACCGATAAATTTGAAAAACTGTTAGCATTTTGGAGCAAATACCGAAGTGAAGCGTGTACGTATTTATGTGTAGGAGAGATATTTCGGTTCATTAATGGTCAACACAAATATATAACAATTACGGGGGTAGTTTCCTTTTACATGGATACCAATTCATTGTTTATTTGGGCTAGTAGTGCTTCTTACAATGCAGGTAGATAAGGTCAACGTAGAACCAGACATTATTGCGCAATGGCCAAAGTTGCTACATCTCATATCATCACATCAAACGAGAATGCACCAAGACGAAAGATAAGGAAATAAGAAGTAAAGTAATCAAAAGTGGTAGGAAATCGTGATAAGATAAAAAGGAATAAGCAAATACTGAATTCATTATGACGATTAATATGAGGATAATCCGTGGATACATCTGTACCCCTGACAACGATTTTTAGCCATATCACCTAGAGTCTCCAACCACTGGTTTCCGTTGACAGACAGACCCCAACCCAGAAGTCTATATTTCCCTGTACAACTAAGACCAATGGTTAAAGACTTCAGGGATTGATGACATGTTTTAGTTTGGGCACCTTTAAAAGCTTTTCATCCTTAATCTACTTCAGGTAACGTTTTGTAAAGGGGCAGACGGGGACTAAGCATGCGTAACACATATTTCAGACATATGAGTCGACGGATGCTCGCAAAGTCATGAACTGATGCTACTCTTTTCATCCACAGATCTATGCCTGACTTCTATGTTAGTAACTTGGTGGCATCATGACATACGAAATATGCTACGAAGACAACGGTGATCAAACACTTAAAGCTTTGTTATCTCTACCGTTTAGAGGCCATAATTCATAGCGATGTAGTAGAACAGAGAAATACAGTGCAGTACACAACCCTTAGCAGGCAAGTCACGGCGGTGCTGTAAATGTCGTAAGATGACGAAAGTCAAGCGAATCTTCCGTATCCATGCAGAAGTTTCGCCAACCACTGACCCACCACGGTTGATCTGACTTCCCAGGTAAGTGAATTGGTCAACGCCTTCGACTATTTTGCTCCCCTATTGTTAGACAGGGCACTTATGAAGACCAGACCATAAGCTGAAATTTGCATTTTGGTGGCTAGAAACACATCCAAAACATTGTTAAATTGTCACTCAAGGTGTCTAGAAGACTCCGCATCTTGTTAGCGTCTTCCTCTAAAAAGAATATCACATCTGCGTACTCTAGATCCGTCAAGGATTCCCGTGATAAGATCGATCCCTGTGAAATCATGTAGTTGATGTGAAGTCCTTTAGATGAGTCGAATCAGAACACGAAGATCGATTATAACTTATAAGTATTTAAAATATTTTAATTATGCTAACTTACCCATTCAAAAGACAATATTTAATATGATTGCTTGTAGTGTAAATGAAAACGCCATGTTCTTCCCAAGCTCCACTTTTAATTCTAACCGTTTCATGTACACTGGCCTTTATCTCCAGATGTCGATCACATAAATAAAGGTACAGTTTGGTAAACATTCCTACATATTGACCATCAGGTGACCAGACAACATGGCGTATGAACTAAAATGAACCGCAAAAGAAAGATGTTATTCATTGGAGAGCATATGTTTTAAAAATCATACAACTTCTCAGCCAAGAATAGGACGCATGAAACGTGTCGCAGTTTGCATTAGTGACAGACAGGATTAATTTTCATTTAGCTAAGATTAAAGTAGTATAAACATAAGTAAGTCGTGGCACTGAAATGAAGTACTTCTAGTTATAAACGTAGGATATATGACGCGGTAGTGCGAAGTTTCGTCAAAGTATCAAACTCGGTAGAATGCGGTTCCATATTATATTAGTGAAACAGTATTGTTTACCAGGTTGCCATGATATGTTCATGAGAAACGAATTGTGCTTGAAACATCATCCAGTAAATAAAACGGTGTCATTTTAGATTAATGTCCATTAAAATACGTTTTGTTTCATTTCAAATCCACCAAGCTGTACTTACGTTAGATTAAAGTTATCCATACTGCACTGCTGGCACTCAAAATACCATACTGACATCTGGTGATAGGTGTTTGGATATGATGGATATCAATGGTCAATAAGTAAAACTACTTTGCAGCACTGACTACACTAACCTTGATATAAAAGTGCTGTATTCAAGAAACTCCCATACTTAGCAAAGACCTGCGATTAGATGAAAAACATAGGACATTTAGTTTTTGATAAGACCCCAAGCTGATCGCCAAATTAACCTTTACGGTGCTCAAGATTTAGATCATGCGAATCTATAGTTTACATTCTTTTATGTGTTTAAAAAGGGAAATCAACGGTAATCATGTCGTAACTTGTCTTTTGTTTCTTTGTGAAGATGACAGATTCATAAACGGCAGAAGATAATAAAACTTTGCCAGAGTATATCTTCATGCTTATGGTTTTGCTTTCATTCTTGTCATATACTCATGATCTTATAAAATTTTGAACTGTGCATGAATGGAAACTGCTACGTTTAATAATATTTTACCTATTGAGACTTATGAAGCAGTTAGTCATGATACGTAATATACAGTTAATCAGAACTTACTTTGGTGTGTTTCAAAGTAGCTAAAGTGCGTTTATTAGCAACATCACACAGACTGACACCGTTAGAATCACGAATTAACAAATTTCCAGTTCCAGCGTAGAAAAACTGGTCAACACCAGAGAAAGATACCTTTTTGACATTTCATTTGCAAGATTTTTGATAACAATCTGAATGGTAGGAGAGGAAATTAAAAGTCTCGTGGAAGTGAGATTGGCATTTAATAAAATGTATGCTTAACAAAACGCTAGATGATATTGTTGGTTCAATGGTGAATTGGATACACGACAGCAACAAACCGAGGAAACAACTACTTGAAAATAGTTCGTGATAACAACTTACGATTTTACAACAGGAAATAATGATTTAGATTATATGACAAAAGTACTCGCTGTCATTCATCACAAAGGTAAAACTCAGTAATACCAATAATATTCCTGTCGTTGCATAGCTAAGAGTGAACTCAGAACAAACACGGGTGGTAATAAAAAATTACTATTCTATAGCAACCTCGCCTGGTTAACTAGTTCACTAGTTACTAACCGGTCCTAAGCCCGAGTAAAGAGGGAAGGTTGGGCATACGGCTAACAACCCTACCCCGCAAAACAAATCTAACCACTAAAAAAACTTCAAAGCACAAACAAAATATAAAAAATAAAAACAAAATTATTCCTCGCTGGAATCGGAGAGGCAAAATGACACCAGTTGGTGAAAGCCTTCGGGAAGCCAATTGGCCGATGTGTCTTCTCTCGATGAAAGCGAAGTAAACGTGGGGACATGGAATGTCCACACCATGTTTGAACCTACCAAGGCTGCGCAGATTGCAAGAGATGAGAAGGTATAGCATAGAATAGAAGTGCTAGGAATCTGCGAAGCAGATGGGATGGGAGTGGACTCTCCAAACAGTCTGTCAACTGGAGAATCAATAATCTACTCCGATATTGTCACCCAGACGACAACCACGAGCACACTGTGGAAGTGGCTATCATGATGTCCCCAACAGCATCGAAGGATCTCTCTCTCATGCAGTGGGAACCAATCTCCTCCTCTAGCTGAATCATGATAGCAAGATGAATTCAGCTTAAAAGAAAGGAAAGTCACAATCATACAATGCTAGGCTACGCACCTACAAATAATGCAGATGAAGAGAAGAAGGAGGAATTCTACAGACAACTGCAATCAACACTCGACAAGACCCCACTCCAGTTGGCGATATCAAAATTCTAATGGGTGACATGAATGCCAAACTGGGAGTGGACAACACAGGAAGAGAACTAACCATGGGTGAGGTGATGAACGAGAATGGAGAATTGTTTGCAGAATTCTGTGCATTCAACGATTTGGTGATTGGAGGCAGTGTGTTCAGGCACAAAGATATCCACAAAGCGACATGGATTCGACTTCAGTAGATGGACACACTAAAAATCAGATCGACTTTATCTCAATCTCAAGAAAGTGGAGACGCAGCCTACTTGATACAAGGTCAAGAAGAGGAGCAGATGTAGGCTCAGACCACTCGCCATCTAGTGCAAGGAACCTTCCAAATCAAGTTGAAAGCCTTCAAAGAAGCTGGTGATAGACGACCACAGTCCAAGTTCAACAACCAGAAACTGAAGGATGAAACTACAAAGAAAATCTTCACATCAGCCATCAAGACAAAATGGGAGATATCGAGGAACATCCCTGAAGAAACCTGTGTGGAAGAACACTGGAAGTCTTTGAAAGCTGTATGAAAAGAAACCTGCACAACCGTATTAGGAAGGAAGAAGAAAGAAGATAAAGAATGGACCTCGACGGACACATGGAAGCTGATAGGGCAGAGAGAGGAGGATGGTGAAGCAGAAGATAAACCAGTGCAAGGATGCTCAATGACAAGAAGAACTGAGTACAATGTATAAAACACTACACTGGACAAAGAAGTGAAGAAGAGTGAACGCAAAGACAAAAGACACTTCCACGACACACTGGCAAGTGAAGCAGAACAGGCTGCAGGTAAGCGAGACCTGACAACATTGTATCAAATAACCAAGTTACTATCTGTTATGGAAGAGATCAACACAGATGAAACCAATGAAAGATGATGACGGAAATTTAATTACCAAAGAAGAGAAACAAAGGAAACGATGGACCGACCACTTCAAGAAGATCTTGAATCGACCACCAACTGTTCTTCGTGCAGAAATACCACCTGCAGCCACACAACTACAAGTGAACACAAATACTCCAACAAAAGTCGAAGTCCTGAACACCATAAAGCTACTCAAGTGCGGGAAAGCAGCAGGACCAGATGGAATCTCGCCAGAAGCACTGAAAACAGACGCAGAGACAACAGCGGACATGCTCACACCACTATTGCAGAAGGTGTGGAAGGAAGGGAAGGTACCTGCCCATCGATTGGAAGAAGGGTTACCTTGTCAAACTCCCAAAGAAGGGAGACCTCAGTGTTTGCAAGAACTGGCAAGGAATCATGCCCCACTCCTGTCCACCCAAAGCAAGCAAAATATTAGGCCGCATCATACTGCAGACATTAAAGGATGCACTGGATTCAAAACTACGACCGGAACAGGCTGGCTGGATTCAGGAAGTACAAATCATGTGCCGACCAAATTGAAACGCTATGCTACGCATCATCATAGAACAAAGTGTAGAATGGCAGTTAACTCTGTACCTCAACTTCATCGAATTAGAAAAGGCTGTCGACAGCATCAACTGAGAAGTAAGTTGGCAGGCAGCTGCTTCAACACCATATTTTTAGTGCCACAAACCTTTATCAACCCCATTCAACAGCTATATGATGATGCTACATGCCGGGTGATTCATAATTGAAAGCTCAGTGATGCCTTTGAAGTGAAGACAGGAGTGAAACAAGGTTGCCTACGCTGGATCGGGGAAAAGATGCTAGAAGATTTGAATTTCGCCAATGACTTGTGTCTTATATCGCACATACTTGAAGATCTACAGGCAAAAACTAACAAGTTGACGAAAGAGGCGAGGCAGCGAAGACGGGACTTCAAGTGAACGTAGAGAAGATAGAGGTGATGAAGATACCCAACCAACAACAACAAACACAAATCACCATCAACGGGAGAAACTTAAAGGAAGTAGCCTCTTTCACCTACATAGGAAGCACTGTTTCAACTACAGGCGGCACCGACGAGAATGTCAAAGTCAGAATCGGTAAGGCAAGACAGGCGTTTATTTGCCTGAAACTAGTGTGGAGATCTTCTACACTCAACTCATCATATAGAACAAGATCCTGATTCTCAACAACGTCAAATCAGTGTCTCTGTTTAGCTCGGAGACTTGGCGCGTTAAGAATAGCATTCCCAACAAACTACAGACATTCATCAACAACTGCCTATGCCGGCTCGTTACTGAAGATCAGATGGCCAGAAAGAATAAGCAACAAGGAACTCTGGCAACGAACCAAACAAGAACCTATAACTCAACAAATATGCAGAAGGAAGTGGAGATAGATTGGGCGTACACTGAGAAGGCCGGCTGGGGACATCACGCGTCAGGCCCTCAAGTGGAACCCAGATGGGAAGCAACGAGTTGGGCGTCCGAGGAGAGGGTGACATGGAGATCGTGCGAGGAGGAAATGAGAGGTTGTGGGCTGTCGTGGAGCCAAGTTCAGAAGATTTCAGAGAACAGAGCGCATTGGAGACGTGCTACTGAAGGCCTATGTTTCATTAGGAACCCAAGGGATAAATAATAATAATAATAATAATAATAATAATAATAATAATAATAATAATAATAATAATAATAATTGTAAAAGGCACTCTTTACAGGGTTTCAGAGACAAAACATTTTTGTAGAGTCAGTTTGCTGTTGTTTTATTTAACTGCTGAAAAGTAGTCAATGTGACAATCTAATTCTCGATACCTATCAGTAAGCACGAGGGTAACAAATCGTGACAAAATATAGTACCGTTTGTCCCTGGGTATTTAGAAAGTCATAAAGAGATGTATATAAAGCTAACACTTCGAAGTGACCTGGGGTATATAACAGCAAACTGAGTTCGTTATTCCACTTAAAATAAACATATATGGCGATGCATTATTAACTTGTTTTGAAACGTTCAATTCACTGTCTTCACAAGGTGCATGAACTTGTTCTGGGAACTGACTGCCAAGAAAATATGCATAGTATTATTCAGCTGTTTTGTTTTAAACTCAGTGCAAATCCCTAGGTGACCGCCTTAAATATTTAACGGCTTTTGTTTGAGCATCTCAAGCATTAAACATTGTAATAATGGAAAATAATACAAAATGAAACAATTAAGAGACTGGTATGATGATAAGTTCATAAGTGTCATAAACACTAAATTATCTTCGACAGGTTTCACTCTTCTGTACTTTATACTACTTCACATTTTTATCATCTCACTTAGTAACTCAATACTGTTTGGTAGTTTCCGTACAAAAGTAAAACATTACGACAGTGATACATAACGTGTTCGATTAAAATGCAGAAAAGTATTGTCAGCTATGAGTGCAGTAACTGACTGAAAGCTAACCGAAACTGCAGTGAAATGTTGTGGATAAGTTTAATACTAGTCCGAGATGAAAGCTGGATGTGGTTAAGTGATTCACCTGTAAGCGTGTTGAGAACAGCACACGTCCATAACTCGAGATGCTAGAGTTTTGACTAGCGTAGTCTCTCAGTTAATTTAACGGAGAGTTTGGACTTTGGAAGCCACAAGGTGTAGAGCAGAGTGCAGTTTCAGGACTCGAATCGTTATCAACAGCTGCAAGGCCCAAAGAAATTTAGGTAGCCTAGGAATATTCAACGCGAGATATGAGGAAAGATCAGAAGGTCAAGTTGTTGAAAGTTGATAATGATCTGTAAGTTTGAGTTTTTATGAGGTGCCTGTAAAAGGAGTTGGATTAATGGTAGTACGTGACAGTGGAGCCTACAAGATATCTGTTTGAGGTCGGTCACACAGAGCTTTTTGTAAGTCCAAGGTTTACATTCGATTGTTTTAAATCCAGCTAGAACGCCAAGATTGGAAGACCACAGGACAGGGAGAAATGTGCTATCTTTTCGACCAACCTATTCGAACCGTTCCTCCTTCTCACAGCTGTAATTACTTTTGGTCCTACCACTGTTTAACAGACTTTTTAGATACCATCACTTTAAGGTAGCAGATATCGGTCGCTCAAAATTAATCAAAATCATAAATAATAATGGCTACCAAAATAATACACAATAATTTAAACATGTTCTATTTTTTTTTACGATAACAGAGCTAATGATCCACGAAAAGTTTGCGATTAAGTATAAAAGCTTAAAATGCACAAAAGCATAGCCATAAACAGCTTTAAACAAAAAATACGATGCTGCATATTTCGCTGAACTAGATTATCCGGTTTTAGAGAGTCGGGATGTTCGGAGTCGGTGACTGGAGACGCCAGAAGACCTAGTTCGAAATCGATTACAGTATCATACATATATTCACCACACTCAACTATTTACTCACATTGCAATTTATAAATATCATCTTAAATTCCTTTATTACCTCCTTCACAGACTTTACGGAGTGTGAAATGGATGTCAGTTAACAACAACATGAAGCCGGACACTACTGCATAACGGTCTAAGTTAACGCACATCAAGCGAGATGAAAGATGAACAAATAGAGAAAGCACTTAAAAGTGCTACAAAGTCGATCAAAGAGAACGAGGAAGAACAATACGACAAAAAGATGCAACGTTGATAAAGAAGAGGATAATGCGTGGATTCAATAGCACCAATGAAATCGATTCTGAACTATATCACCTAGTCTCAGACTGGTTTGTTGTTACGCAGACCTCTACTGGAAATGCTTCACTCACCTACACGGTAAAGATCCAAAGTCAGAGACTTTATCGACTGATGTCATGTTTTAATCTGACTGCCTCCTATAGCTTTTCTCCAGCCTGCGGCTACTGCAGCTAACTATTGTCGATGGGACAGATGATAACCTGGGAAGCAAAACACGTGCTGCAACCATCTCAGTCGATGGAGGTTCAAAATCTTGTCAACTGACTTTCCTTTTCTGTTCAAAACACTACACCTGTTTTCTACACTACTGATGTGGTGAAACCAGTACATAGCCTATGCTACGGACAAAACGGTGATCGAACATTTAAAGCTTTCTTATGTCCTCTACCTTTAATGGCCATGATTCACAGCGACGTATTAGAACACAGAACTGCAATACAGTACACTCAACTCTTAACAGGCAATAGGATGTCACAGCGGGGCTATAAATAGCGTAAGATGGCGAAATGATGCATTTCTATTCGATCTACGTTGACCTATCGATTTGACTGGTAAGAAAACTAACTGTAGTATTCTAAAAAATATGACGAGTTGTGTTCCATAAATTTCGAATGAGACTGTTAACGCATGTTTCCCAGTGACCTAATTAATGCATACGAAAATCATCAGCGTATGAAACTTGTATTAGTCGCATACAGAATATTGTTCACTATCATGTTTTCCTAAGTATGTAAAGTAGGTAGGAAACTGACCCATGGACATGTTGCATTTTGTTTAAATTACAGAACTACGGTCTCATCATTACTCTCTGACAGTTACTTCGACGCTATCATAGATATTATAGGAAAACAATAGTAGTGTCTTGGAAATGAGTGAGCCTTCGATGTCACGAAAGACAAACACATAAACCATGCGAGACCACTGTATTTACACAACTTTTACAGATCTGCAAGTCTTGTCCTTGAGGGCTTCATCAACTTCGTTAAAGCTTTGTATGAATACATGCCAAGTAAAGCAAAGGTATACAACCACTTGTTTTCGCTGTTCCAAACCCCAATATAGTTATGCAGTTTTACCAGAACTCCCTACTTCGCACTAACTTTGCAATCGATGGTATTCTGAAAACTGTTCTAAATGAAGACAGTGACACCTGTCATTGTTACCCTTGAAACAGTTTTTTAAGGTAGGGTTTGTGGATGAGTTACCGGATAGAACGTAACAGATCATGTGACTTTATGGTTTGGAGCTTTTCTAATGTAGCTCAAACTAGAATTCAGTGGTCATCCTGCTTAAGTGTTCTCGTCATTTAGATACCCGATAAGGTACGGAAAAAAGATGAATGAACTGTCCGACTTGTTCTCAACTGAAATGTTTGTGTTTGATATAACTATTGGTAGTGTAAAAATAAATATTATCGTACTTTTTTGTGCGGCATATTTCATGGTATTTCTCAATATATAATAAACAACCTTGATCGAATACCTTCGTCCATTTTCCATTCAGGGAAATAGTATAACGTTATTATTGAAGACTAATTACAATGAATAACTTACTGATCCAGAGCTCTCAAGTACTGCAAATCTATTTCTACCAATCCAGGCGACCGAAATTCCAGTACCTGACCGGCTTTCAATATGTTCCGGCTGTGTGCTGGCACTATCCACTGTTTTCGGTAACATGTATAGGTCATAAACCATGTTGGTACCACTCGCTATAGACATATTAGATGATGGTCCTATCTCACTTTGACGTGGCCGACTTAGGATTAAAATAGCATTTTCGATTGAGTTGTAACCAGCACTTACGGCCAGACCACGACCTCTGTAGAGAAAATACAGCAACATTAAAATAGTATGAAGGGATACCAAGTTCTTGATCCTGAGTAAATGAATTTTTAAAAAGTATATGTCCAAAATATCTGTAAAATTTCATGGTATCAAAGTGATGAATGTTACTGAGGTTAACGAATCAAGTGTTGTCCGCTGTAACTTGAAAAACTTATTTCACAAGCAGAACTCAGGCTCTCAAACTCGAATTTCTTATTTTGAAAAAGTTTTAGCTGTATGTCACCCGACTGATATGTAATGAGTGTGATCCATGTGAACACCGAAACTTTAAAACCTCTTATTTTATCCTATTAGTAGCATTATGTCTTGTCTGCATATCACACATATTCTTTCAAAGTAGCAATTTTGATTTTCACCTCCTAACTCTATTCAATTCCCCCAACTATATCACACCGCTCAACTTAATGACTTATTGTTGCTTCAGTCTTGAATATAAAACATTTATTTACTACTTTTTACATCGTATACTTTCCAATTTCCTAATCATTCATTAGAACTGACTTGTTGCCGAACTTCAGACCAGATGGTGGTATTCATATATGACTAACTGTATAACGAGTATAAATAAAAATATTCTCATAAAAATGTACGGTAAAACTATAAATTAGTGCCAAGCAAACAGACATGAATAACTTACTCTCTAAGCTGAATAACCGGAACATCTTTGGTGGCCGTAAAGTCTACCCGTCTTAGATGTGGAAATTTAACATAATACATACAATCCTTATATACTGTAAATGCGGGTCTCTCACGTTCCAACTTGAAAACCACAAACCCTGTGTCATGACCGGCTGCAAATATATTCAGCTTGGGATGAGCATTTAGAACCCAAAATCTGTCCGAATCTCGACGAATAGTTGAAATACATGTTCGTTTGGCTAAATCCCATATTCTGATGGCTTTGTCCTCAGAATCAGAAAGCAGTAAATCTTGTCTAGGGTGAAAGACAACGCAGCTAACATTGTTATAATGACCACGAAGAGTGTCCAACTCCCACGCTTTTGACTCTGGCAAAATTAAAAATAGTCGTTAAAGCATGGTATTAAAAATTAGAAACACTGAAATGAGAACAATGAATTCACAGGTTTTACACTTCTTAAGTTACAAACTATTATTAGAAATATAAAATTACAAAGGTCAACAAACATACCACATATAAAATATAGGAAAATAACACTCAACCTAATGCAATAATGCTTAACAAACCCCAAGTACAATAACTAACAGATGTAATGCAAGTGGCATTTAAAGAGATAACCAATACGATTCGAATAATAGTCACAGTAGAAAAGAATAGGGAAAACCAATAAGAATGTTATTACAATGCATGCAAACAAGTACATTACATTACATTACATTACAGCACAAAACGATTTGGCCAACACTGCTGGTTAGGTAACATGTCAAATCACTGCATCATTTTACTAAAATGGATCCCCTTCAACGATAAAATAAAATACGACCACTGAGAGGTAGTAGTAGAAAAAATTTATTTGATTTATTTAAAATTCGGATGCGTTGAACAAAAATTGTAGCTCGTCTAAGCTTCTGCAATAACGGAGTTTGAATGAACTTGTGGGCTAGCTTTAACCGGTTCGTTATCTGCGTGTTCAAATGTGTATTCTTATCATCTCTTTTGCTAACAAAGAAGTCATTCTTCATCCCCAGAATGAATTTAGTATTTTCGGTAGTCATTGGGGCTACTTATGGATTACCTAGAAACGAAAGAGGTTTTTACTATAGATTCTTCTAATACGCTTAGTTGTATACTCTTCTAAAATATTTTGATCATATACAACCTTGTGCAATAGTTTATCAGTTCAAATTAATACACTTAAGAACACATAAAGCGATTCATTGATATATATATATATATATATGCAGTACAAGCAAAATATACATTTGAATACATTAGATTTTCTAAGCTAACTAACCTGTCATTCTCCATATTTTTATTAAACGGTCATCCGCTGCAGATACAACAATAGGTAGTGTTGGATGGAAGGCTACCCAATTAACACCACGATCATGACCTTCAAGCACATGACGAACAATCACCTCCGTCGTTCCAAATAACTCCGTATGACTTGGACTGAACAAGTTTGGACCAGAACCCCCGGAACTGGAGGATCCCATGAACTGCCTTGCATGGTCCTAATTAAAATAACATCGAGAAGTACACAAATTCATAATGATAACAGAAGACACTTCGTTCCGGTTACTGAACTGGAAACTTCTGACTTAAAAACATCATTGTCAGTCCACATAGATAAACCAGTGCGATTGCTAAATAATGAAGTTAGCTGTAACGGAACAAAAAAATATCAACGAATTCGCTTATCAACCACCACGCTTGTGGAGCGAGCTTATGAGTAGCTCACTGCTGAAACAATAAATGTCAATCAGTACACGTAATAACAAATACCATTGCTAAATGTTTAATCCAAAAATAAAATGAGAAAATTCGTATCTATCAGCAGCAAAAGATAGATCGTATACGGGTGTGTTGCATAAGTTATACTTTCTCATAAACGGGTAGTAGGAATTTATAAACCACTCTAGGAAGATTTGTAAATATTCAGGTTAAGCATGCAATAACACTTAAAATTTACCTCTATGTTTGACAGTGAAGAAGGAGCTACACTCTTCTTTCTCAATCCTGACATATCCCATACACGTACAGTTTGATCCAGTGACGCAGAAACAATAAGATCTTCCTTTGGGTGGAATTGAGCACACATAACATAATGACTGTGTCCGGTTAGAATGGATACTACGGCTCGTGACTGCCAATTCCATATACGAATAGTCTGGTCATCTGAAGCACTCAAGATCCAAGGATATTCCTAGTTTATAAAACACATGGACAAAGAAAAACGCTTGGAAATTAAAACCGAATATTAACAAAAGTATGTGAAGTAATCACGTACAAATTTGTACGACGTTAGTCAATATAAACATGGGACCTGGCATTACCACGTAAAATTTTAATTTGTCACACCAATACATCGAACAAAACATAGTAGATAAAAGATAAGAAAGTGCAGGGAAGTGTAATTAAAACTCGTAAATTGTCATGACGGAAGATGAATGTAAAAACTATAAGTGGTGTGACTGTTGGATGAAGATGTGTGGATGCACCGGTACGATCGATTCTGAGTAACCTAAACTACAGTTTCCTACCACCGATTTCGACTGTTATGTAGACCTCTACCTGAAAACCTACATTTCCTAACACGGCTCAGACCAAGTCAGAAAACTTCATTGCACTCATGCCACCTACCAGTCTGATCACCCTTGACCATCTCCCACACTAAACTCATTTTAGCAAGCACTGAAAGTTAGGGTGGACGATGATCACCAGCGTGCAACATATGCACCAGTAACCTGATTCGGTAGACTTACAATCTCATCGGCTGACGATGAGATTCTATGTCTAACTTCTACGTAACATCGTGGTTCCACGACACGGCTTATGCTGAGAAGGCACGGTGATAGAACATCTGAAGACATCCCATATCCTCTACTTTCGATGGCTTTGTTTGACAGCTTATAGTAAGAAAGAGAGAAGTGCGATGCAGTACGCTCAAACATTCGTATAAAATATCTCCTTGGTGCTGAAAATGACATATGTTAGTGGAAGCCCGGCGCACTCCTTAATATCAAGGTCGGAATTTCATCGCTCCCTGTCGCATTAGGGCTAGTTCAACTTCCTAAATATGCAAAGTAGTTAACACACCCAACCACTCTCCTACCCTACAAGTCAGACGAGGTATCAACAAAGACCAGTTACAAAGTGACAACTCGCATTCTAGTGGTGATAAAATTAAATAAAAATTAGAAATGGAAACCTTTGGCGAACACTACCCGATGTGTACAACTCACCTGAACCTCCATCACAAAATATAACACGCCCAAGGCCGCTCGAATACAGCACTTTCAACAGGGTGACGCACTAACTCGGCACCACTTCAGCGTCATGAAACCTCTTAGCCAACGGAGTCGAATGCATTCTTGAGACAACCTGTAAGCCTTGTGGTGGTAATGCCTATGTTACCAAGACGGCTTTTCGACCTCAAGTGTGTCTAACGTGCCTTTTAGCTGTGACATGTAAGCTACTCAGAACGTACTGAATCAGGTGGTCATCAGTGTCCGTAAGGATGATACGTTATTTAAAACGAAAGTGGAATCTTAATAAGACTAAGAGTCTGCCTTCAATAAAAATTGGTTAAAATTTGGAAGTACTTGAGAAGTACATGTAGTTAGGAACTCATTAAGTGTCGATGGAGGTGTGACAGACGAGTTTTCCACTAGTATGCAGAAAGCCAAAGCAGCATAGGCCGCTCTGGGCCACCTTTGTTGCCATATGGCAGTTGTCCTGGACGTAAAAAGGTGTTCGGCAAGTCACTGCGAGTAGTTTCGCCCTACACCTGTAAAACCTGGCCTCTTCAAATTGAACATGACTGATGACTTTTTATATTCAGTCACTGTTGTTCCCGAAGGATTTTTAGCGCTCAGTGAAAATACCAAGTACGTGATGCTGCGATGCAGTGGTGAGCGTTTTGACATGATAGACATTGACACTCATTGAGTGAGGTTATCTTGAAACACCGGTTAGGGAAGTTTTGAAACGTTTCAAATGTCATGTTTGGTAACCCTGAGGTTCGCTGAAAGAGAGATAAATGCATGACAGTGCACTGTGAGATGGGTTAACATCCATTGGGGCTTAAATACTCCTGGAATCGAGTTTGAGACGATATTAAGTACGGTTCAGAACTGAAACAAGGGGGGAATATGGAGTTTTTCACCCTTTCTATCTAGCAGAACCGCTGTGAAGACCTCGTAATATTATATTAATTGTTTGATGTATTTCGTGCTGTCTATTGTATCAAATGTGCTTTAAATAAAAATTAGGATTTCGATACATTTTAAGACAATATGCTAAATAACTGATGTGGTGATAACAGTCATTATGAAGCAACCTGTGATTGAATCCAGTCCCCTGATATAATGAAGCTGTGTAGCTACAGTGTGATGAGCTCAAGTCGAATATTGCGACAGCAGAGTTGTGGGTCAATGATCTTGCCTGATCGCCGAATCATACCTTTTTATTCTATTTACCACTAACTAGTACACACCAGGGGAGGCTGGTAAACTAGCATGTCAAATGTAGGATATAATGCAGTAAGGTAACAGCTTAAAACTACTGCATAACTTACTGGTTGAAAATGAACCACTAGCCAGATAAAAGAGGAAAACGAACTAACCTTATGAAAGAACGTCGTTCTAATGTAGTCCAAGTGGCCAATAAGATTAAATAAACACTTTCGTTGTTTGTAGTTCCACACTTTGATTTTGTAATCATCTCCACCAGAGACAAATAAAGGCTGGTTGGCATGGAAATCAATACCACGAACAGGTCCCTCGTGCCCTTCAAATTTCTCAATAAGTGTACAACTGCGGTAATCCCATAACTGTATGATTCCTGTGTGTAGGCTGCTAAGAATCCATGGTCTTTTGGGATGGAAAGCCAATCCTTAAAGTGAAATATCCGTAGCTTGTAATTAGCAAGGATTGTTTACTCTATTATAATGAGTCTTCGTCAAACAGAATTACTAACATATTATAATTACTAGTAAATGAAGTAACTACAATAAATGGATTCAAAATTTCAAAAATGACAGGAAATTCAGACGAGAACTAGAAGCTACAGTTTGCATCATTTTTAAATGTTGCATCCTATAGCTGAACAATAGTAAACAGCAAGACGTCATCAGCAAGGATAAGGTAAGGGAAAGAAGACGTACCGAGACATTTCTAATTTTGAGTATGAAAGCTGGTACCTTGTCAGTCGTGCCTTTGGAATGCACCACTTACAACTTCGTCAGATAAACGAACAATTTATGATTTGCATAACTGTTTCGGTTTTAGATGTCAGGCTTTATATCAACGTAGCGAATGGATAACGGTAGACTCAAAATACGGAAATGACACGTGTTGAGAAAATAGGAGATGAAGAAAACTAACCCAACAAAAATAATTTAGATCAACAGGATATTCAAGATAAAAAAATACAGGTACTGGACATACATTCTGCTTGGTTCCCAACAAACGATTTGTAGCCTAACCAGTGGGCGTACACGCTCCAGCACAGGTTAGACTAACAAATAGTAACTACTTCAAGTTATACTTTTTCATGACCATTTCTTTCTATACTAGATATGTTCAAGTTTGAACCTATTTGCTGAAATAGGTTTGGCCAAGTGAAAATTGAAAAGTTTAAAACTGGAATGGAGTCCAAGAATTTGAAAGAATGAAAATGACCCACAAGATTAACAGCATCTTCACACACTACTTTTCACCGATATTACTTTGGCGGCTTTTATTCGAAAGATTTAATACAGCTCGGGAGTCGAGTGCAAGAACATACATTAGGCTAGTGATAATACCTAGTTGTTCAGACGTTGCTAGAAATGTAGTTTGAAGTTATCCAGTGTCAGGAAGTACCATCTGAATGCTGAGGCTAAGAAATCCCAACACTGGATCGTATGATAAAGGTGATATTCCATGTGGTTCATAATCGTGTTCCTAAGGTAGTAGGTAATAGTAGTAAATTACCGTTTGTAATGCCGTGTTTCGCCGCACGACTAAGTTTGATGGCAAAACGAAAATGAGACCCCTATGGGAATGAAATTTAAGCGACCAGCAGTAACTATTATATGAGAAGGACCTTTAAATATAAAAAGCAGGAATCACATCACTATCTGACCCAATTTACGTCGCATTAGTTCTAACGGTTCCACAGGATAACAGATACACCAATTTCAAGGATTGACACAGGCTCCTAAACGCACTACTGTCAGCCAAAACTGCGAAGAGCACCTAACATTTCCAAATAAATTGGTTGAATGTAGTGAATTTCCAGCGACTAACAAACAACTTTGAAATGATACAGACTTATGTGAGCTGAAAAGCGGCAAACCTTCCAATTATTACTCTCAGTTCTCTGTTCACTTTCACAGCACAGGATCAATGTATATGCACAGACTTAACTGCCTTCTTTGGTCAAATTAATCACGAGATGATTTAACTGTCATGAATTGCAATCTCGTTTGCGAGAGCAGTCTTTTAAAAGTGTACTTAAGTATGATTCTGGCTACCATATCTTCTACGTCAGTAGCAGTTAAGTTAAAAGAGACGCTAAAACTAAACCTGAAGATATCCTGCATCCGTATGGACATATGACGTGTAACCAGTCTCAACACTGAAACACAGTTTTGAATTCTATGCTAATACAAACGTCGCCGATGAATGACAAGGACTAATTTTTAGGCCACAAAAGCAACTTATGCATAACTACCTTTCACCCTAGCTGATTTGCAATCAAACTTCGACAAGTAAGACATTCGCCAGGTTGGACGACGTTGAACTACCGCGTTTTAATTCAGCCCACATAAACAAAATGACGAGACGTCCAGCCCCAATATTGAACATGCATTGAACGATTTCCAAGACGTCTCCGTGTTGATTTATCCCAGCTTTGCGATCTGAAGAACCTATCCCTACACTTAAACTGTTTCAAATCACATGTGCATTTCTGCATTATAACAGCTGCGGTTTTTACAAAGCAAAGGACTTCGCACATCTAAATACTTTTTCCAACACTTCCGGTTGTGGTGAGCTTTGAATTCAACTTCATTATCACTTGATTTTAAATCAATAATTTCAAGCCGCTAAAGGGTGGTGGCATCATTTAAAAACCTGAGGCATTGCTATTCTAACAGCTACTAGAAAACATAAACGGAGATCAGTGTTTTTCAGAATTTCAGTTCATACCTCAATGTGCGAAATACCTGAGTCCTAATGAATCTCTTTAAATGTAGGTATGAAGTTTTCATACAACTTTTAAAACAGCGCGTATTTGTAGTGCACCTTTCTGACACTAAAATACAACCAGAGCTGAAATAAACAGATTAAATTGAATTAACCGAATAATAACTAAGTGGTCTCCTAGCTCTCCTCAGGATGGTCATTGTGTTTTCAGCTTTGTTTTAACAAGCACTCACACGAGCAAACCTCAAAGCCACTTTACACTCCTTTTGTATTGGTTGAAACACATCCTCAGAGTCTCTAGGCTGGTCATATCGGCCAGATAATTTGGGTAAAGCTTACCACTAATAATTACTATCGTACTAACTCTAATCAAATATCTTGCTTCTTTGAATGTATTCCTGAATACTAGTCCTCTTTATTTGTGTTTCGTTATCAGTAGTTACATGTCAGTAATGTACTGATTAAGCAGGTGCTAGAGCACACCAAGTTAAGTAGGTCTGGTTAAGTGTTACGTACTAAAAACACAACCGGTCCCCAACACGCCCTTAAAAATCAAGAGGTTAATCCCAGTTTCAACTACACTTAGTGGCCTGTGCATGGACTCCCGCCAATTACTACAATAAATGTTTACAAAAGCCAAAAACTAGGATTAACCGGAATGCGGTAACTTTTTTCAGCGAAGCCATTCGGCAGTCTACTTAATTGCTGGTGTTAACTTTCAGAAGGACATAAACAAAGCACAGCCATGGTGGGTTTAGTGGTGCTGAATAATCACTCGTGACGATAAAGAGGAAACCTAAAACTTGAATCACAAACATTATTTGACTTAAGTTTGTCGACGGCAGTGAGGACACATGATGAACTGACAGGAAAAACGCCTAATCCCCGTTTATAAAATGAAATATATCTACAAACGGACGGGAATTTATCGACGCAAGTCACATTCAATCCTGTACTAATTTGACGTGGCAATTTCGCCTACATTTTGTCATTCGATTCTTCAATTTCTCATCTTGATAGCTTTGCTGCTACCGCCCCAGAGAGTGTTATTCACTTGACTTCACTGACGTTCTTAAACCTTTAGCTTATTGAGTCCATATTGGATATTATTTTGTTATTGCTACATTTTTTGAACCGGTGCCTTGACAGTGCAGCATTTGTATAAAAAAGTCAATCTGCAGCGGGTATGAACGTTTCATTCGCCACAACCCACTTTTTGCGTGGTGTCTTAAGAATAGTAGTTGCGTGTGAGGTACCGGGAAATTCCGTGCACTTTGAAACGCCAATTTCGACTGTGCTTGTAATAAGTCAGCCTTTTCAGATGGTAACTTTTGCTGGCCGTTCATCTCAAGCATTTGTTTACGTACCCTTCTCTCTCTGTATTGTGAGTGTTGGCGAATTCACTAGGAGACCTGACGGTGGGGTTGGTAGAAAGATGTGTACCCGTCAATAATCTCCCGAAGTCATCAGACTGGTGTTTGGCGAGACCTGACATTGATCCCGACCCTCACACCCTTGCCAGACTGACTAGGTTGAGTGCATATGGTCGAGCATCCGTGCCATTTGGCACGCTTACGAGTTGCACTGCACTCTCCTCACGCAGCCATCTATCCAGCTAGTTGGAAGGCCTTGGTGGTTTGGCATGGTCAATCAAAGATGCTTTTCCACCAGGCCACTCGAAGTTGTTTTTTGTTGGTATTTCACAAACGGGTAAATAATAGTAACTGGTAATCGGCCTTCCTGTCTGTCAATTTCGCGCAGGATCACTTCTGAAACTCATGAGGCGGTTCCTTTTTGTATTCGGACACTTTCCTTAAACTGGCAACTTTTGTTTACTCATATCACTAACTTCCGCATTCATGTCGGAAAAGATCCTTAAACTCGTGCGCATCAAACCGCAAATGCACCCCATAAAGCTCATGTCATACCGGCCAGATGACTCAGAAGCGTGAATTCTGTACACCGAAGCTGACTTTCCTCACCAGGATGTCACAGATCCTAATTGTGGTTCTCTTGTTGTTATTTGATCACCACCACGGAAATTAAACAGGTACATCACAGCGCACACGCTTAGCCCAGAAGTAAGTGATTCCCTTACACTCCCCCAAGCAGCACTTTCGCAGAAAACTGGTTTTACAGATCCTTGGAGCTGAGATGAGTTGCTGTGTAGCGTCGAGCCAGGGGACGACACGGCCATTAATATGCTCACACACATGCGAAAAGCCGTTGGTAAACAAGCGTTCGACGATGATGCTTTCTGTGAAGTGTTCGATTTGAAACTACATCAGCCGGTGCAAACTGTAATGGTTACGCTTCAATGGGTTACCATCAGTGACGTGGCAGCCCTGGCCGACAAAATACTGGAGGTCTGCAGCAGACCTGTCTCTAACGTTTGTTCTGTCATCGAGAACTATAAGGGTCAGGGTTGAGCGGTGGTAGAGCTGTGCAACTCTGCTAGGAAGCTTTAAAGAATCCAAAGCTCTAGGTTACTTTGTGCGACACGGCAAAGTTTTTCATCCCATCTCAGCGCTTCACGTGGCCGTCCAGCAGCAGATTCTAGCGTGGTCAAAAACCCCAAACGGTGTTGGTTTCATAACAACCACGGGGACAGTCAGAAATTGGCGACAGCTGTGCATTTTTCACAAAGACTGCATAAAGCCGAGAACCGACCCCGCGTTAGCGGCATACGTAGCTGGCGGAAAAGCCGGTGGTTGTACTCCACTGGCATGAAGACGAAAGTTCGCTACTTCGTCGGCACTGGCACAGAAGTTGGCATTCTACCGCCAACCACAACTGAACGCCATCACGAACCATCCTTCAGTCCGCAAGCAGCCAACGGTAGAACGATCGCGACCTTTGGAAGAGTTCATGCCCACATTGACTCAGATCTATGTAAACCCATCCAGTGGACGTTTCGTCGTGCCAATGTTTCTGTGACCATGGGTGGTATAGGTGTAGCGGAAAATCGATCTGAGAATCACTCCTGATCACCCTGTCTGACAGCATTGACGTTTATTTGCATATTTTTAACCTCGTTTTGGATGGCATGCCTTTGACCCTAGCCGGTGTAATGTTATCTGGTTGTTTGACTGTCTTCTTTGACTTTGTAGTCAGTATGTACCCCCGTATGATTGAGACTTATCATGAATGCTTCACCCTCCTACTATGTGACACTGAACTGTTGACAAGGTGATGTTGTTTTACTGCCCCCGACATTTTGTTTTGGTTCAACTTACGGTTGCGCTGTGATTTGACCGCCTTTTTTACTGTCTACTGGAAACGTTTATTTGTTGATTGGATTCTGGTAGGCAGAGTTTTGATCCTTTTTGTCGGGAATATTCTTATTGACCCTCAGGTACTTAACAACTGTATTTTTTTAAGCAGTTTTTACCGTGCAGTATGTATTTGCACCCAAGAACGTTTGGACTGTATAGTTACCCAACGGCATTGCTGAGGTATCTTTTAATTTTGATATAACTTATTATTGCCTTGATAGTACCACGGATTTTGTTACGAATCTACTATTGAATTACTACAAACCGTGTTTTGATATTTTGATCCAACCCTTGACTGTGCGTCACTCGCGGAAGTTAGGAAGCTATACAGTAGAACGCAGGAACTAGTCAGATTCGCTCTAGCTGGCACCGCCTGGTTCAGGCCCAGATGATTGGATTTTGGCTGTTACAATAGGTTCGCTGGACCATCACAATCCACTTGTATGCCCCAGTCGATGACGACTGACGAATAACAACACGAAGTTATCTGTTGGCAAGACAGCCTACGTAGGTCCAAGTTTAATCATAGTTGAAATGACACACACAGCAGACTCATCCTGTGAGACATTGCTAGCTAAAAAGTCGGAGCCGACAGAACCGCCGCGTGCCTTGCCGAGCGTAACACGCGACGCATGCATCACGTGCAACCACAGGTTCATCTGCGGCACACAGAGCGCTTCTGATAAGCTCAGATCGGCGTAAAGCGAAGTCGACCACATGCTTGAACTAGGCATGATCAAGCAACCGAACAGCCTTTCGAAATCACAGTTGCATGTTATGTCCGAAAAGGATGGAAGCGATCATTGTTCGAACGGCGATCACCGATGGCTCAGCGCTAAGGTAATGCCGTACTGCTGCCTTTACATCACGGCAGCCAAGCGGTGGGAGACGCGACTGATGAGTTTGTCAGCAACCCACCCAACTAAATATATGCACTACCATCTTCCACACAAAAAACATATTCATATAGGGCTGCTAGGTTTCCGGAACATTTGGAAACTTACCTGACTGCTTAACGTGCCAACGTTTTGTCTTTCAAGGTGTTATTCTTGTTGCGATGCTCTTTCTGGGAAAATGAAAATCTTCCGACGTGCAGTCCTCATGGTGTAACCTTTTTCCTGCCGTAGTTACCAAGTATTTTTAAAGAAATCGAATCATTTTATCACTTACCCCTTTATTGATGATGCATAAATATCCCTCATTATTGTTAAATATTTTCGCGATATTAAGAGCTGTTTCTCTGTCTCAGGTGTAGCGGGCTCTGGATTGAACTTTGAAGCACTACGAATGTAACCATT